GTTAAAGGGATATGATTACTAACATCTTTGAAAACATTGCGTGTTCGATTGACCAGGCTGGCATGTGTCCCATAGATGCATCAATGCGCGGTAATCAGCAACTGGGCAAATTCTGCCAAATTCTGGTCGTGTACGAAAGGTGATCAAAATAGATTTACGCTAGGGTACATGAATACTAGTCTGCAGGCCAAGGAGAAATCGATTGATTGCTTAAACAATTTTCTGTGCCGGCCTCAAGATTAAATGGCGGGTCAATTGAACCTTATTCGCATTTATATATCGAGTTCTTTATGAGTTGCTTAGCTTAGGCAAGCTGTCCTCGGAGGACGCAGGACGTATTTGGGTTGTCCACTCTTTCCGCTGGTGTTGGCTGAGAATTTATTTTAATTTGGCTTTTCCCTTATTTTCGGTTACGTCAGAAACAGATCAATACACATTGTCACTTGTCCTGATTGACAAGACAACGTATCCAAATTAGGTCCTATATCATCCTTTCTTGACGCGTATTATTATTGTGAAATGACCTCTGATTGTTACTCTCTACTGAATATACATACTAGGATAAGACATATCGTAAAGTTTCAAGATTAATTTTAAGTCTGGTAAACCATGAAAGAAGTAGAATGTTTTAAAACTAAACGTAAGAAAAAGTATTAAGCAAAAAAGGCTTTCGAACTGCCAGATGACTTTTTTTTCAGAAGATCTTTGCCTTACCGTTTAGAGCTCTTTCTAATAGCGTCGCAAATAACGCGCGCCGTACTGGCTCTCCTGTTAAGTCTCACTTAATCCATTGTCTGCTCAATAGGTAATTTCATTCATTACTTGATTACGACAGATAGAACGTACTTCGGCGATACAATATTCACAAATGTTCGCTATGGCACAGCCATTGATTAATTGTTTTCTTCCATTGTACTTTTATAGTGTCTTCTTCCTACTGCTCTTCCCACTATACTCGTCATTGTCATCGCCATTTTGATTCCGGTTATTTCTCTCTCATTAGCGTCTTCCCTGTCGTTGCTACTGCTGCTGCCGTTGTTCTTGTTGTTATGGTTGCTGTTGTCGTCGCTGCTGATAATGCTTTTACGTGAGAGAACGCTTGGTATCGCTTTTCCGTCTGCTGGTCCATCGTCCATTTGTCCTTTCCTATCGCTGCCACCCCGGGGGCGACTGTGCTAATCTGTGGCGTTTTGTTGGCGACTGGCCGGCGCCGCTGTGAGAGACAACATATTCTACACGCCACCCCCTAATCTGCCCCTCTACCCGATAGTTACGCTAACATGATGATGATTGTGATGGTGATGACAGTGATCATCATCATCAGCAGCAGCGACGACAACAGTCGGGATGGCGACTGCAGAACCGGCAGGTCAATGCGACGGTGATGATGACCGTTCGCCTGCTGCGGCAGTAGGCCTTCTGCAAATAGTCTCCTGCGTAATCTTCTTGTTCAACTTCTTCTTCGGGGACTATCTGTTTGTGTAACAGCATACATGGAGGTGCGTACGCGTTAGTGTGCGTGTGGATTACGGTAGGTTATTTTTTTGCTTGAGTATTCGTCTATAAACTGTAGCGGGTACGTTGACGGTTACATTGGCGACAGGACGACTGCCGTTGCGTCGGAGTTCTCCGCCTTTTAGGTGAGAACGACCCGCGAAGCGTTCGGCTAAACGAGAGCTCACTGATTGACTAAATGACTTGGTGATTGGTGGTACCTAAATCGACCTTGTCTGCGTACGGCTTACAATAATACTTAGTACTACCTACTGCTCCAAAGATAGATTCGTCGGAGATGGGGCACGGATGAGTTCGGTGTAGTCACTTGTTGGCAACGTAAAGATTTTTGCGACTTCCAACTTCGGCAGAATTCAATGGGCAGACAAATTAAGGAGATAAACAGAGGGATCGTTTACCTTTGAGGGTGACAGGAAAATATGGAAAACAAATTCATTTCAGCGCGAAGTAGAACGTATTTTAGAGGAGATTTCTGCTAATTTGTAGGATACATATTGTGTGAGCGTATTGTTTTTGATTTCGGCACTTGTCACGTATAATACTTACACTTTAGTCACGAATAGGTTTTATATAAAATTCAATATTGCACTTGACCATTTTTTCAGGTCAGTCTGCTATTGAGCTCAGCGCAGAACGGTCGGAAAATTACGACGCCGTCGCTTCGCCACTAGAATTGGCTAGCCAAAACTCTGAATCTCGACAGAGTAATGGGGCTCAGGATTACGACCATAACGAGCAATAACATCAGATCAACAGAACCAAACAGAATTGCTACGAGGAGCACAAATAAAATTATTGCGTTCAGTATAGAGAATACGGCCGTGCTTAACGCAGTTACCATCGCAGACACGTTTGAGAGATAGTAATCTCGACGAAGTCATTCAACAAGGGAAACGTATCGCTGAAGTCCACGCCCGCTTTTTTTTCATCCTTATAGTGCCGTTAATAATAACCCAGCAATTGATAATGTTTTTTGGCCATTCAGCTAATTATATCGTTGGCAGTTCCTTAGCCAATTGAAAATACGATCATCGTTACTTTGACAACGTCTCGAAGGGTCGCAAGGTATATGTTTATTGGATGCTCCCTGACGAGTTAACAGCTACGCGAGTTATCAATGACACTGGTTAGTTTTTTTTCGTTTCCGGACACTCATGTCCATCCCTTCAAATCGCTGCCGTTTGATGTTTTCAGCGGCAAACTGTCAGAGCTTCACGTAGAAAAATGAGGCTTCACTTCGTCACCCATTTCGAAGGCGCTGAACGAATCGCGCTGCCGTGTTACTTCGACAGACTGGCTGGCCGGCCGGCGCCAGGAACAATCGCCGCAATGCAGCAGTGACCGAAGGACCTCCTTTCTTGACCGTCATGTTATGCCTGAAGTGTCGGTACGAGGAAATTTGTGTTAGCTATTAACTCCTTTTGAAAGTTAACAACAAAACAAGTCGGCAGCCGACGTCGACACACAAAAGCAGACAGCAGGGCAAGTTCATGCTGTTGCCCGTTGTGCTGTTGTTGTTATTATCACTTGCCGGTAATGCAGCGTTGCTTAGGCTGACTGACGTTAATCAGTGGCCAATTCAGATCTGGTCGCCTGGTCATTTTCAGCTTCCTCCTATAGTCCCGCACAGAAATAGCAATAACCGTGGGAGTATTGATCTCCGTATGACGGTGTTGACAGCGCACTGCCAGCTGTCCGGAAGAGCATGAGGTCAAACTAATTGATGATCTTTTCCTTGCTCACTCCTATGGCCAGTTTTACTGCGTATCTAGCTATGGGTGCATCGTATAACGTTACATTTCTGCAACGCAAGTCGGCTAAACTTATGGTGTGTTGCTTGTTAGCCCCACGAACTTTCATGGTTATAAAGCGTTGTAACCCAGCGATATTTACGGTAGGTGCCGGATATGATTATTGCGCAACATCAAGCAAGCAACGAATGAACGGATTGGCGAACGTAATAGAAAAGGGTCAGTTACGTCGTCATATTGAGCGTTGATACGTCAACCTAAGTTAGGCGTCAATAGTTCGACGCAGGCAGAAAATGTGTTACCAGCTGATTGTCAAAAACGCTACAACATGGCTAAGTTCATCTGCTACCTTTGCTAATTACATAGTCTAGCAGCAGTACTAGCGCACGTAGCACTAAGAAGACGACGCCACCTAAACGCTAGCCTGTAGACCGTGTTGACGTCACAGCAATGCAGAGGCCATCACAGACAATCTCACAACAAGCGCTACCTAGCAAGAAGAGTATATACAAAGAGATGTGCGTCCCATTGCGGTCCTGGACGGTCGCATCGCTTGCTATCGACACGACAGGTACCGCAGAAATTAAGGTGCATAGACTTGCACGTCACCAGTGGGTGACAGCGGGTTCTCCGCTGGAGGTAGGATTCCGCTAATCGTAATCGTCGTTGATGGGACGTCCGCTTCTGCAGTCTAGAAGAACGGTGCCTACCTTCTCCGGCGATGATCCAACAGCCAGCAGCCGTAGCTGCTGCTTCCTTCGGATCATCGACTGATCGAAAGTATCATCTGTGCGATCTTGAACAAAGAACAACTTTCATATGTAGTGATGTTGGTGTCCACGCTGGTGGACTCGATACTGAGGCGACTAGGCGTGCTTCAGCTGGGATTTAGCCTTAGATAATGATCGGCATCGGCGAACCGATATGGCGTTCAGTTACGTTCTTACGTACTTACTGATTGTGTTGGCTGTTTCTGATCCGGGCGCCTGTTGTCAAATCGACGCTTACCGATATGGATCATAATGCGACAGAATTCGTTGGTCCCTTTGATAACTGACAGCTAATTGACCCGCTAACAGCAATCAGAAGCGGGTTCTTAACTGTGAATCGACTTCTGCCAATCAACGATTGTCCGTATGTCCGGCGTCATGGAAGAGACATCCGTCTTTGGAACGTTCGTTCACCTGGCTTTTTGCTTTTCCTTTGACGATCGTCGTGCTGTGACCATATCCCTCAGCGGATTGCGCTCAATCCGCTATCCGAGCCGCCAGAATCTACATTAGCAATAGATGGCCTTACCTCCCGCTGCTGCCGCTAAACGTCGCTGCTCTACCCAACGAGCTTGCGTTAGCGAGACAAAAACGAGCAAAAGTGCGGACAAAATAAGAAAGACAGGGAAAAAAAAAGGAGAATAAAAGCAACCGCATTAGCCTACTATTACCATTCGTAATGAGTTGTGATTGTTTGCCAGATAGCAAGCTTTGTTTAATCCTGCTTAGCACCACTCCTACTTTATAACGGCGACATAATGAGTCGTGCAAAGAGAAGCTGCACCGCTTAGAAACTATAGACGGACATCGGTTGACAGTGGGGAGGCAGAGGATCTGAAGTTTCGAAGAGTAATCACCAAATAATTCGGTTTAGTGTATATTTGAAATACTTGGGTTCGAAATGCGCATCCTTGTATTGTTTCTCACATGACGTATGTTGCTGGTGTCCTGTGTGCTTTCCCAGACAATCCTCAACTCAATGCACAAATACCAGCCCCGATTTCATCTCGTGCGTACGGCAGATATTGGCAAGCTAGCGTGCGCGTCGTTCAAGACCTTCATTTTTCGGGAAACGGAATTTATCGCGGTGACCGCATACCAAAACGAGAAGATAACCCAGCTAAAAATCGATAACAACCCATTTGCAAAAGGCTTTCGGGACACAGGCGCGGGCAAAACGAATAAAAGGTGAGTCATTCTTAAAGGTAAATATAGCATCGTTATCGGTTGTACTTGGTTGTCAAGCTAGGATGCGATAAAGTTTTGAGACCTTAACCTGGCTCCAATAAACGTAGCTTGCAAACGGAGGTAGTTCAAGTTATTATTATTATTATTATCATTATTATTATTAGTAATAAATAGACAAATAAAACTAACATCGAGCCAATTAATAAATCTTCATTTCCTTTTAGGCGATCGGCTGGTGATCAGGACTCGAGCGATGACGACGATGGCTGTGAAACGCCGTCTAGCGCGATGCTGCAAAGTCATACTGATTTTGACGTCGTTACAGGTAGAATACGTTGTATTCAATATATTTCAAATGAGCATTTTGCCCCAATACGTTTGAGCACCTGCTCCCAATTTCTGGCCCCATTATGTATTTTTAAGTTTCGTGTGACACAGACGCTTTACTATTGAATTGTCCTTTGCCTTATTAGTAATTATTCCATGAATTTGTCGTTGCTGTCGACATTTTGTGCTTGTTTCCGGCCAGCTAGAGAGACATCTCTGGTAGACCGCACACATGGAGCGTGGTAGCTGAACGATTTGTGACACATAAGCGCTACGGAGTCCACAACGCTACGTAGCCCATCGCGGTCGAACTGTGAAACATCTAAGATTTATTATTTGAATTCTAACCATCTGCGTCTCGGGGAAGACAAGACGGAATGTCCTAGCTGGCCTTGATGTATCAACTCGGCTATGAAGCTTCTCTCCGCTCAGAGAAAATTTGAAACAGTCTACGAGAGAAGGCGCATCGGTGCTCAGACTGCACCGCCGATGTCGGCTCATTCTGGGATTGTCGTTCTCCCCCCGCCGTCTATCACAAATCCGTCGTGTGACGATTGTCCAATGGGCTGGTCATGCTTCTAAGTGTGCTGATCAAATAACAAGTAGTATCGAGCTTTGGCTGGAATCGAACAGCAAATGGACCATGAGCATTGTGATGAACAGCAACGAAAGTAGCAACAAATTCAGCGGCAATCGCCGATCGCGATGCCCGAGTAACACGCTGATAGCAGCATCTAATTTACTGACTTCGTAGTATTGTAGATAAGCGAACAGTGGAACATGCGAAATCGATAATGACAGTCGGCGGCGCCCCGGCCGCGACGATATTATGCTCTTCTACGGAGTGCGGTCGTCCGCGGGTTCCGACTGATGACGGGTGTACCTCTACAGGTAAACTAACTTATGTTTACACGCTTTGTGTGGTCGTCTGTAAAGGCCCGTTAACGATTAGCGAATAATTCGGACCCTGATCAAAACAGCCCGCAAGCGTCGGAGTTACCGCATCAACTATTGCAACGAAAGCAGGAGCGATAGCGGCAGTGGCAGCGTGGTCGGCTCGATACGCCACTGATGCATTTACACTGGGTCCTCCTTGGAAAAATGCTCAATCACTTACTCAGTTTAGGTAATAGAAAAGCATTAGCGGAAAATGTGGGGGATGGCCGTTGAAACGGATGGAGGTCCCACAAATGACCTAAGCGGAATCATGTATCGGCGTCTGTCACTCTGATGTCACTATTAAAATCAATGGCGATCTAGAGTATAACGATAGAGGCTAGTCCTTCTTGGGTTTTGAACATGGTCAGCGGGATATCGCAGCAAACACTTAAAGCTACCTTGGGGGTCTGCAATGGCGGAGTGTGGTTCCAGTGGGCTCCCGCGTTAGTCTCGGTTATCTCGATCGGGGGAACCCTGGTAGACAATGATATACTAGCTAGGTTTACCAATGTCTGTACCAATGTGTCTGAAAAGCGTCAAGACATCTAATTTCGTTTAATTATGCCAATAAAAGATCCTTAGAAGTAGATTACTTTAGAATGAGCCAGCAGGGAGACGGCGCGTACAAATGTCTGACACGAACCATGTGCATATCGAGACTGACAGTTCACATTGGAACCGTTTAAATTAGGCTAATGTAATAATTTACCGATAATATGATACCCAAGTCACATCCTAAAGGTTCGTATAATAAGTTATATTAAAGCTTCGGTGAAACCTTCAGTGGTAAGCGGGACACGATAGATAAAATGGTCCTCCTTCAGACACCAAAACATACCTTATCCCTATGGGTTTGGTTAATTTTGTCCTATTCACCATGTACCGATGTAGACATAAAAAATCTAGCCGAGCATGAAACGATAGCATTTTCCCTGCTTTCCACTATGCCCTAAGCAAACCCTACCGAAAAATGGTGGACGTTCTTTCGTAGCGATGTTTTCTATTTAAAGGCTAATTAGAAGTCCAAGTGTCGCTTTCCTGTCAACTAGGATTAGCGAATAGAGATGTCAGTCAGTAGTTTTTACTGCAGTTTTACCGCGATGTCGCAGTTTGACAGGCCTTATGCTGGTGTTACCCAACGGTGGTAATGTGTCACGGGTCTCAGCAGACGAACGATAAGCGACCGAAATAAATGACAATTAAAGCAGCAAGTGAACTTAGTTCGCGGTCGGATTCTGCTAATCGGCCACACGCGGGCCCCTCTGAGAAACAGATCTTTAGGACGATTTGTGGACGGTTATCGACTCGACAGGGGGGAGTGTAGACAGCAGCGGCGTGACCCGGCGTCCCCCCAAGTGAATTGACACCACTTGTCCCATCTTCGTTGCTTAATCCGCTCGAGTACTGCGCAGGTTAACTAAAGCAAATGTTGATTTTCAGCCTGTCGAAAGTCGCTGTCAGTAGCCGCGTTGGTAATGGGCGGCCGCTTTGCGGCTCAAACGGATGTCATCACCGCGAATACTGTATTTACTTTAATCCAGCGTACTCGGCTTTTGCTCCTATTTTAGGGGGGCAATCAACAGGTTTGTCAGTACATCGTCTTGTGAGTTCAGCCACGCAGAAGTACGCATGCGAACGGCTAGGGGACTCAACATGGCACGCGTGTGCGTATACATCGGTACAAATTGGTTTCAATTGAAATGTGCTCTCGTAACGCACCTACAGGTTGGAATAGAAACTTTATTTGTACTAGATAAGTAGTATCGAAGTTATGCCGAAACTAAGCTATTTGAAACGGCGAGCGGAATACACGAGCACGAATACATTACGTAAGACAGAACCGACTGATATTTCACTGTCCCATTCATCTTTTTCTCCCAATATATCACTCATGCTTCTTAAGCCGCCATCGTCGTAGGCGCACTTGTATCCTTCAAGGCGTGCGAGCCTTCAGCCTTGTTAATCTTAGGCCCAATCACTAATATCGTCAGAACAACTACAAACAACCCCTACTTCACTAAATCTTATTTCTGTCGCAGCTGTCGTGCTAACAGCGACTCAGATCCGCTAACCAGTACTTTCACACACGAAACATTATTAAACGACAACGTCCATAAGGAACTTGTAGCGGGGCGCCATTTGGCATCCGAGTGTCGCCTGTCGTCGTCACCCGTGTTGTATCAACTATGGCCGCCGCTTTCACAGCTGTTGTCCGTTTCACTATGTGTCTATATATCTGCTAAGTTGGAATATTGTTATCATCCTTAAAGCCTCCTCTCTTTTGTTCTTACCCCATTTATGATAGCGCACATAGTCGACCGGCCCGGAGCAAACTTGTTCATCCTTTCTAACGGCTGGCTCGGCGGGCCACTTACCGATTTCGAACTCTTCGACTGCATTTGCGAACCCCTTCACCTGCTCGACTACCATAAGCTTATAGGTAAAATGCGTATAGGTATATTAGAAATTACAAGGAACACCTACCTCCCTACAACTGCTAATAGAACAGCGGTACTCAACTTATTCCTAAATACTGCTACATGTAGGCGATACGACCTGTCGCAGTCTCTAAGCGATCTTCGAACGCGTCAACTGGTCCCTTGATCACACGCACTTGCGCCTTTCGTGTCACTTGGCGCTGCCGTTGCTTTACCGTCGTTGTCGAAGCTGTTAAAATTGTTTTTGTTGTTGATTTTGGTGTTCTTTCAGCTGTTGTTAGTTTCGTCGCAGTGACGGCTGTTGTCGTTATCGGTGTATCTTAGTCGTTACTTTAACGCTGTGTGATCCGGTAGTTTTCGTCGTCCTCTGTTTCTCTTATCGGCCGGACAATCAGACCGCTTGTTGAGTACCTGTTAAAAACTAAATGTTTTTATCTTATCTCAACCTGCTTTTCTTGGCTCTGGTGCGGCGAACAGCCAGATGATGAGACATAGACGGTAGTCAGCGGGCTGAAATGATCGCTTTGGTGTCTATACGAAAGCTAGTTAATGCCTGGGCCGCACCGGCTAAATACGAACGAGTGTCCACATTGAATCGTAAGCAAATAACTTGTAACTTCGAATACTGTGGTCGCCGCTGTGTTAAAATGTTGTGCCTGTACTTGAGCACTGTCCAGGTTTAGCTGCATCAAATATACAGATTTTGTCCTTGCTCTTACGTTATGGGACCTACCACCCCATAAAGCACAAACAACAATTACGAATGTGATCAGCATTAAGTTCGGAACAAGTGTGCATATCTATTTACGTCAAAAAACAACTCCACATGAGGCTGACGTTTGCGAATAGGGAAAGGTACAAGTTTGCGGGGGCCTTGTTCGACCTGGGTTTGATCGGTACCGTACAGGCTCATCATCGGCCAACTACACGGTTTTGCAGTAGGCCTTCGTAAAAGCAATTCCATTTCGACAGACCTCAGTGCTCGTAGGAATTTATCTCGGTGTTAGTGAGGATGAACTGATGGCAGTCCTCAAGTGTTCTGTGAGCGACGTCGTCATTGGTATCATCCTCGAGCCGATCGGCAGGGACGTTGCAATGAAAAGACTTCTCAAAGGAATTCCCTTAAAGAAGCAGACCGGCAAGGTCGTCGGAGAAGCAGGACATTTCCACGGCGTCGCGCTCACCGACACTCGTGGGCTTTGTCATCGTCGGATCGACTTCATCGTTTTGTATTGCCATCAGCAGCGATTCTCGCAATAACCGTATAGTGCCTCTGAGAAAGACCTCTGTGCTAGAGCTCTAGAGCTATGTTTCGGTTCGTTCGGGCCCTGGTTGACCTCTGGTGAAGACCCTGCGTCCATCGTCGGGGTTCGACTTCGATGAAGATAATCGATCAATAGTCTCCAAGCCATTCGAATGCTGCATGCCCAATAGCCGATTGTTGTAGGTTCGCCGCATTCTGTTTACTAGATTCCATGAAGTAGACAAGATGAGGTCGTCTGCCAATAGAAACAGACAGAATTCGAGGATGACCCATTGAAAGATGGATGGATAATAGCTCACGTTGTCTTCTTGAGGAGTCGCTGGTTCAAAACACCCACTTAGAGTGCAAGACCGTCAAAGAACGAGTACCATATTACTATCGTCGTCTTGCCAAACATCGGCTAAGAAGAGACTGGCGCTGAGCGACGTTCCGCATCACGGAGACCAATCCCAATATCTTCGCCGCGCGCTAAACAAGTGCCTCTTCTCGAACTCTGCTCAGCAAACGCAATCAGATACATTCGGCATCCATCGGAATAAGCATGAAAGACGCAGAAGCCGCCGCAGTCATTTCTGCTGCCGATAACGATAATGGCGCCACCCAGAAAAAAATTCGAGAGAAACAGCAACGAGCAAACGTCTCGGAAACAAAGCGCTCTGAAGTTGATGTTCGCCCCGAAGACTAACCTATCCTCACCGTTCATGCTGATCTTCGGTGACGAACTGATCTTCAGCGGTCACATCTCGATCAGAGATGCACTGGTGCTTCGTCATCGTCTAGACGTTCAGAAATGTATCGTCACCGACACAGGCGGAGTTCAACACAGCCAACCCCCGCCTGCGTCTGTCCCGGGTTCTAATTCTTCCGTAAATAGTGGGTTGCTTTGGCGGTGGCAGTACTTAAGTGGCGATATTGCTGCTCGCTTTGGGCTGACGGCATATCACATAAATAGGCAGCGAGTCACTAGACTAGCGAAACAATACCGGAAGCCGGTTAGTTACCTTTGTAGTTGCTGGAGAGAGACGGAGAGCGTTCGCTGCTTGGTCTTCGAGGCCTGTCTGCTCTGTGCTGTGTCTCCGTATTCAGTTCTTGCCGAAAGAGCTACGTAGTGCTTCTCTACGAGTCACTTCGCAATCACTTATCAGTTCTAGATATCGTTAACGATTAGTCACTAAGAAATTTTCGTTGGTGTCGAGATGTTGGTTAAGTTCCTACCTATTTGTTTAACGTATGGGTATTTGAAGTGGGTTTCAGTTGGGTTTTTTTTTCGCTCGATTTTTCGTTTCATTCATTCTTACGAGCTGTTTGTGGGTTTTGTCATTTTATTTGCACAGCTCTCCGGGCCCAGCACGAAGAGCGAATGGCAGTAGCATTTTCGTCGTACGGCTCACCAGGTTTCGGCTCCAAGGGACCGTTCTCGTTGAGTCCGACACCTTCATCGGGTTCGCTTGACTCCAGCGGATATGGGAGTCTGTCAGGATTAGCCAGACCGTCGGCTGACGATCAGCTCAAAAGTATCCAGAAAATGGTGTCAGGTAGGTACCTATTAGATACGAACATTAGCGGGAGACGGACCCCAACGCTATGGACACGGAAACATGGCTGTTTGTTGTGTGAGATAATCCCTTTTATATTAGCCGTATTACCACGGTTGTTTCATTACGATCGCGGTCCTTTAACGATAGCTGCCTGTTGTACAAATAACCCAATGCGAATGCCACACCAATATAAATACCGATGAAATTACATAGATGCTTGGTCGACGTTTCGCGTTCAACGAGGCGCATAGTAACACGATGTTTTATCTAGATGGATAATAAAATTTAATAAGAGAGAAAAAAAAATGGTATCATAAAGTTGACCTATTTAGTGAATGGTGAACGGTGAGATCGGAATATGGCAAAATTAAGATCAGTCGAATTCTATCGTATACAAACAGTCCTACGCTATGCATTTCGGGACACGCACGATGAGACATTGCGACTGTGGTCGAGCTTTAGGCTCGTGGGTACAAAGCCAAACAACAGGTTGCTTATTGTACGAAGCAATATATTGTTTTAACAGTTACTCTATGGATCAATCAATGTATATGTGTGCTGATTATGGGCAATTTCGATGTGCTTAAGTATCCCTCGTGCTTAGTTCGCTCGTTCACGTTGTCTGTCATAGCCGATGTGGATGAGCATATTTGATTTTTCCCTTTTTCTCGTACGAATAGGTGTTAACCTAAAATATAAACATCACTGAGCTAGTCGGCATGGTTGAAGTCTGCATTTTCTGTCACTATGAGAAAACCTTTAATTCTTACTCACCATTTATTCCATACAGAGATCGCTGTTACCCGGCCGTCATACTGTGACGAAGCCACACCCGAGCGGCTAAATTTCCGCCTATTATCACTATTATTATGCTAGAATTCGTAGTTGCCATGTTTCTAATTATAACTTCAATTATGAAACTGAAGACTACATTACATGGCTGGTCAGTTTCGCCAGAAGCAAAAGTTCTCCATGTCAAATACCTGAGTTCAATAAATAAAAGATATAGCACAGCCCCAACTAGCACGATGAAACCGTATCTCGCAGCCATCATATGTGTGCCTGGCAATTACTGGTACCGGTTATTTCTGTCTCCGCGCGCAACTTTATCATTCCCTCCCTGTATCATTTGCACCTTCATACGTCACCCGATTTGTGACCTTTTATCGACGAGCTCCTATCTATCTCAGTAACAATACTCTCCTGTACCCAAATGCACAGCTACAAGTCTAGTGGGCTCAGTTTTTATTTGTAGTTTGTAACAGATTCATCGCATAAGACTCTGGCGAAGGGTTTTTACGCGAACGCCCAGTATCTTCCCGATAGCGTAGCGTCATTCTCTCCACTGCACTTGCCCCCAAAGTTTCCGCATCAGCGGCGCTACCGTAATCGCTGCCGACGGCGACTGTAGTAGCCGCCACAGAAAACATCTCGTATTTAGTATATAGACTGTCTCAGTCTCGTACATCTACTGATTAATCGACGCCATGTCTATAACGTTATTGCATGTGACATCGGTCTACAACCCCCAACCAACGCCAGTGTTCTGTTCAGGATATCCTGAGCAGCAGGACTATCCTGATAGCAGAAGCAATAATTCTGCTAATTGCTCCACTTAGAGACAATACGTAATAAGGAACAGAAACGAATGAGCGTCGAGCTGAGCTCGGCCAGTTCGGGTTTGCCTGTGCTGGATAATAGCGTAGAGTAGCGTTCAGTCGGGCACCGCGGAACGCCGGGGGCTCAAAACAGCGCTAGTCAGGGAACCGCCGGTAGCAGTGTTAGCGAAAGAGATGCTACTCGTTTTGTCGACCTTGTCAGGATCACACCCATACCGCCAAAAGCATTGGCCATCGACTGGCTAAACCGATCCCCAGCGGCCAGCTCTACTGTAAGGCAATCACTTTCACCGGCAGTACCTATCGATTAATTTAATGATGTGCCAGCGTGAGACGAGGCGTAAATTTAATGGGGTAAAGATTCTGTGATCGAACAGACTGATTGTTTCTATGCATAATACAATTTGGATTCGATAGTTATGAATGTGGCTAGTACTAATAAAAAGATATTCAAGCACCGAGTCACTGAAGGAGATCTACTATCGAATACAATTTGAATAAGGTTTTTGTCAGCAAATGCCTTATAACAAAGACCAGCGATGGTCTTTACGACGAGCGGCTCCTTGCCGCTGACGGAGGAGTAGTACTGAAGTAAACTAACGCCACAGATGTTCAGTAATGCTTCATGTTCTATATTATTTTATTACAGAGAGGAAAAACGATCTATCAACGGGAGCATGTGCTGTCTTGTGACTGTGCCGTCATACCGCGCGTTGATGACGCCCATTTGTGGCACCATAGCACTATACCCGTAATCGAAACACCGTCGTGCGGATTTTCGTGCAGAAGTTTTGGTAGACGCACTTATATGTGTCAGCTGTTTCGTGCGCCAGCTAATCTTACCGCTGACTCAGCTACTATCAGCTTATAGTCATCCATTTAGCCCGGTGTTGTTGTCTCATTAGCTCGATCTATGGGCTCATGTCTGCCCAGCTCTTCTCACATGCTAATCATCATCACAATTACCGTCTTCACCTCTCAGACTGTTGTTTTCGCCTAGGTTACTGTTCGCCGCTGTTGCTGCCGCCTGTTGTTGTTCTTCTTCTTTCAATATTTACTCTAGGAGAATCAGGCCGAAGCGTAAGTTACTCTTCTAAATAACAAACAGATACAAACTCAAGTACCCGCAATAGCACCACACTGCCTACGATGAACTTCTGCAACCGGCAGACAACCAACTTCAAATGCTGCGATGTCTCTAGCTACTAGCATGCAGCTCTTGGGAACTTGTATTCCTAGCGGAACTTGGTGTATACGGTCTGCTGCCATTACCGCTACCCGTACCATTGCCGGAACTGTCGTTATTGTTAATGTCGTCGGTGAAGTCAGCGCAAACGCCCGTGACACACACACAGACAACTTTGCTCTTACTTACACGACGTAGTTGGCTAGTTAGTTCGTAAACCCTACTATAATGTAGAGATCGTGTGTGTAAGGATATGTAGTAATACGCTGGCCTAGTCTATTATCCTGGTTGTCCTTTTTAGTTGCTGTTCTCTTGTGATCCTTGTTACGTCACTGCTCTTCTGCTGTCAAGTTTTCTTGTCGTTTTTGCTGCTGCTGCTGCTGCTGTTGATAGCTTTCGCGACAGCTTCGTCGGTTGATGCGCGCCAGCAACAACATCATGGCGACGACGGCGTATGCCAACAACAAAATAAACAAGACTAAGGAAAAGAAAACGATGCGAACGAAAATGTGCCGTCAGGACAAGCCGGCAAGAAGGATCCTCTAAACACTGCTAGCGAGCCAGCCTATGATGCTGCTGCTGCTGCTGCTGCTGCTGCTGCTGTTGCTGCGGTCGTCTTACTTACTCCTCCAGCTATCAGCGGCAGTTGCAGCTGCTACGGATCCCGATATTGCCTAAGATGTTCTATTCTCTCCTCCTGCTAAAATGACTCTCGGCACAGACGAGAGTTCAGTTGAGCGGTAGCACCAATGTGCTTTTTAGTTCTTTCGGCCGTTCAAGCGATTAGCAGCACCAGCAGCACGCTGGCACCGCCTCAGTCCCATCGCTGTGCTCTTCGTTGTCATCATCGTCGGAATTATCATCATGATCGCCATCGTCGGTTATGACAGCCCGTCCGCATACGGAGAAATAGCCAAGAAAATACTGGTAGGCACACCCCATCTAAAATTTCGGTGCTTCGCGTGCGTTCTTCCATGGATAGATGCATTGTGTACTAGTTAGACGGACGGGTCCACAGGCACACACATTCACGCGCATATATACAAACACCCTATATCCGATACTCACAGTTTAGTGGTCACTCTTGCTGTTGCTAGCAATACTATAATATAGTATGTTAGCTCGTTAAAAACACATGGTAGAACAGCAGCTAACCTGGTAACTAGTGTGTAATCGACGAGGACCCAGCGTGTAACGGCAGTGACCCGACAAGCCAGCCTGTCTAGGTGACGGCTGCGGCGACAGCGAACCGTGATCATGTTGGGCTGCCCTGATGATTCATGCTGTTCACGTCGTGGTCGTTGCTGCTGCTATCACGGTTGTAGCTGGCGTGGCGGATGCGACTGGTGTCGCCAGTAACTGTTAACGAGACGAGATGGTACTCCCGGGCCAGCAACAGTATCATTAGCCACTCTAAACGCATAGAGACAGCATCAGCAACAATAGCGTCAACACCGACGGCGGTAGATACACGGAAACGTACGGAGTATGATCTGTACGAAGGCCACGCATCGCTACCGCCACAGCAGCGGCAATAACAACAAACGACGGCAACTTGGCCGCATGACCTGTCTGGCGCCGTGTGGACTAGGTATCTTGACGTCCCCATTTCGAGCTGGCGACCGTTCGATATCGGCCGGGCATCCGGCGCGCGATGCACGTTTAGCAGTCGCACGAACTGCCATAATGCTACTGATGCAGCTAGTGCTGTTGTTTCTACCTTCATTTACGCTCGTGTTGACTTCTTTCTTCGAGCCCATCCTCACGCAGCTCATAGCAACAGCAAACACAAGCGATTGATAATCTATAGACGTGAGGTGCAGTTACTGATGCAAGCAGTCGAGACAAAGCTGTCGCGGTAATCGGCCTCGGCAACCTGGAGTGGCGATGAAGTCATCTCGAGTGTCCCACAGTTGTTGGAATCGTCGCGTAAAATTTCTACACAAGTAGCAGACGCATCGTCGTCGTGGAGAAACGTCATTGGGCAGCAGATCATTAGTATATAATCGATCAAGCATATATGTCGTTATGGAAATATCGGCTAGCGTCGAATAGCGTCATAAGAATCCAGATGGCTTCGGGTGCTCTCTTCCAGATTAATTGAACAAGATAAGCTTCTCAATATTTCGTGAATCTTAAGAGAGAGTTGAAGGTCAGCATTGCTCTATGAAATAGATACGCGTTTCCCTGTGAGCAAACGAAGCCTTCAGAAAGGGAACAATTAAATTGATTGAAAAAAGTATCGATTCCTATATTTTATGATGGCCTTATATAGCACGTGTGTTGCTAAGGGAGCTATGTCCTGGAAAAGCTTCAAATGATTTTGAAAACGGCTATACTTCTATAGGTAAAAGTAAAGAAAGCTCCTCTAGGCGGGTCATCTATTCTCGTATGTACTGACACGGTTTGGGTTATTTATGGCACCTGATGAAACTGTGCCACACGAGTTGTGTTTAAAGTTCGCTTGATATACGTTTGCACCAAAATTGCACCAAGATTCAAGCGCAAACCAACCTACATATCATTAAATCTAATGTTCCCGCCAACCAAATAAAAGGCCCTAAGAGTAATCACATGGAACAATATTTGTCAGTACAACTCTGGAAAAAATGTTCTGTAATTAACCGCATCGCTTCAGACGCTGGTCACAGTTACTCCGATTCAAGTTATATCTTGTCTGCGCTCGAAACACTGAGTTATAGTTGAATAGAGGTATTTGATAACCGTAACACCAACGCGTAGCCCGTAATTATCGGAATGGTGCTATCTGCAATTGATAAGCATGATCCGGAATCTTTCAGTCACTGCTCGATCCCGATGTGAGCTCTAACAATATGACTATACGTGGCTGAAACATATGGTGGTAGCTTATCGGCTTTATGGGTACGAAGATCAACGATTTAAGCTGCAGGCCTAAATCATCATTCGGAAGAAAGATTATAGTACTTGCTCCGTGTTTTACGCATACGGCCAAGTTGAAATTATTTCTAAATAATACAAAACGCATGGATACTCTAATTAACTTACCAGTTGTATGACGTTCAGATACCATGACGGATCGACGTGTAACAAATCGTCATAATTTGAGGTGCGCCCAAATCAATGTTCGTTTGTTTGTGCGTCGTCGTCGAATGCTTCGAAGGACTGTCGAGATGCTGGCCTATGGTCACCATTTTTTACTATTGTTTTTATCATTATTGGCTGTGTCTTCTGTACGAGTGTTTTATATCAAAAGGTTCTGTTCGCCTACTTTTTAGGTTTGGAACGCCGTCAGGAGCAGCTAGCCATGATGTCACTCTCTCGGCTAGGAGATAAATGATCGTGGCGCCCCGGTTTAAAAATTACAATCGATCAATTAACGAATACGTAAGTAAGTAGCCAACCGGTTTGTTTTTTAATACAAATGCAACTCTCAGGAGATCACTTAAAATACCTAACAAGCTGAGACGAAAAATGTACGAAGTAATAGGCGCAGAGCGATTCTAGTATAATAAGTATATATATATAGTACGTAACATATTGAAGACTTATAACGAACGTATAGAAACAAACGTTAAGTAAGTAAAGTATAGCTAGTATTATTGCTCACCAAACATTTGTTAATCAAAACAGTATGCCGTTATAGGTAATTATTGCTTGATAGAGTTAAAAAAAAAAAAAATAGTTTAGTTCAGATGGCTCGTTTCACAGGGTCTACTTTTCTATAAGTACACGATGCCGAGTAGTAAAAATGGATTTTTTCTCCTATCTGTAATCATTTAACGACGCCAGGACCGTATGCCTATGAAAATCCCAATGGGCCGGGAGCGATGCTTGTTGCTCCACGTTTTAAACGCAAGGCCAACAAATCTATACACAATCAGTTAGCAATTTTGTATTTATTTAGGCTGAGAAGTGCAGATGACCCGATAAGAAAACTGCAATTAGAAAATGAAGAAGTGGCCTCACAGAGAGATGTTTACCTTTATGCCTGTTAAATTGTACACCCTCAGAATTCATTTTCTACTAGCCAAACGCGAACTATTTATCTTGCAGAAACAGCAATATTCTAGTCAGTGGAATCGAAGCATCATAAATCCTGTGCAGCTTCGCGCAAAAGTGCTTCAAAGCGCTACCCCTTATGCATTCATCGTAAAATAAGCCGCCGCCGCCGAAACATCAATACTATGTCTACGGAACGGCTTTGCACTTCCGGGGGCATTCTTCATATCCACTGCTCAGGACCCGTACGTCACTCAAACGCTGTGTCCCCGAGCTTCGAGCTCAACATGTTGATTCCTACAGGTGATCCAGTCGAGCTAACATCGTTACGTGGAGAAAATATTACATCGACCTGTTTCGTTTTTCTAGATGAAAAAGCGTCTTGTTTACAATCTGTCTGTCTATCTATCTATCTATCTTATCTATCTGTCTGTCTGTCTGTCTGTCTGTCTATCTTGAACTTAAACTTCAGAACAATGTCTGCACGGCTTCGCTCGTAAGTTGATCCTTGAACTGAACGATCGAGCGGCCGTAAAGGTGTGAACGGCGGTAAATGGTGGGCAAACGCCGGGTTGGTTCATCCCTACTATACAAATCGTCAGGGTCGACATCGAACAGACAGACAGACGTACGTAGACCGTAATGACAGTATCTATATTAAACTAGACTATCGGATAAGGAGTAGAAACGTTGTACACGCAAATAAGCCACATCGAAACAGACGATCAGTATCTATTCGAAGAAACTGCATCGCACACAGTGAGCGGGCTTTGCTACTGCTATATTGTACATAATAGTGTACCTATATTATCGCAACTATGTGTTATTATTATTATTACGACTGTGTAAGTACGGGGAATGGTGAAGGAATGGAAAAATGGGTAAAAAAAACCCATTGCTGCTGATAACGTTCATCATGTCTAGTTAATATAGAAACTACGTCTTCAATTGAAGTTACATCTGAAGGCATATGCAAAATAGTAGACCGATCGCGTTTGCTACAGATATATTGTTTTAGAAATAAAATATCTAATAAAATGAAAAAAAAAATAATAATAATAACAACGTATGAAGGCTTTATTGCAAAATCCGTTAAAGCTGTGAGCTAACTATGTACATTTTAATAGCAATTTTCAAACGTGTATCACACGTAGAAATACTTTGGGAGTTGATTTTGGACCAAGCATAGTCCTTTGAAGTGCATCGCGAAACTCTAGCAGATCGTAGAATTTTTTTTATCAGGCAAAGATGGCTTGTTCCTATACTATAGACAGAGACGTTCTAATTAGCGACGATGTCTAGCTGACGTAGTCTATCGATGCCTTACGTATAATACGTTTAGGACGACGAACTATGAGTAACAAACAGTGACAAGGTTTATAGAAGACCTACGGAGCTTGATCTACTACACGACCGAGGCTACATCGAAACGTACAAGCTTTTTCATATTTACCGCTGCTGTTTACAAGCACAAAACTTGTCTATATAAGTCAGCCTCTCAGCTGAACGCTTCTAGATAAACGAAACAACATAAAGACAAACGAAACACCGTCGCGATGCGCTAAAGGCAACCACAAACAACGATCTGATCTATCGTCGCTGCTAGAGCTAGTTTGCAAAAAAGCCTAGACAATGAATTAACATCGCCAAAGTTAACTGTGTAAGTAATACTTCCGAAGAAACAACATATTTATGCACAACTTCGACAGATGACCAACTGCTATAGTCTTGTAAAGGCAAAACTGACACCGTTCAATTTCCATGGGGGCATCCGGGGTTTATTAGGCTGGTTTGAAATTACGCACCAGGCTAACGCCGTAATAAGACAGGCACCGGAAGCGCGTTCCTTCGAAATTGTTTTACGTCCACGTCAAAATTAACGCAGAGTGTCGTCGGAAACAGATTATGTAGGATTGCGGTGTGACTGCATCGTACCCGAACTCCAGTCAGTCCAATGCGAAATATGCATAGTAACTCCGTCATGCAGTCATGTGTGTTACATAGTACTCTACGATAAAGGCTAGTGAACGTTCTTTAATCATGCGAAGTACACTGTTGACATTGATACCTACAACAAAATAGTAATTACTATCATTATGTAGTTATTACACCATTAATTATGTTGCTGAAATTTGCCAATGACAGTCACGCATGGAAGGGCGGATTTGCGACGGGTGAGATTTTAGTTAGGACACATGTTGCCCTGTTAGCTGAAGGACACCGATGGTGCGTACGAAACTATCGGCTAAGCCGCTCGAAGCTCAGCGTTACCACAACCGACGTCTACATATGCCACAAGAGGCAATTTTCCCCCCCTGCGGGGGTTGACAATGTATGGAAAGATTATCTGGGATTTGGGAAACTTGGTACTGCAGATATGAGAGCAGTAGCAACTCTGCAGAGATGACAGTAATAGAAATGACACAATTAAAAAAACGAAAACACGAAACAAATGACTATAGCTATAAACAAACGGATGGCGATGGATCGCAACGAAGCCGAAGAACGCCGAGAATGAACCAGAGAGAGTATTTTGTTGGCAACGAAAAAAAAAAGACATAGAAAATAATATTTAAAATTATTATAAATAACAATAATAATAGTGGTAATCACGATGTTGATGGGATGGATAAGCTAAATAAACTGAATGCCCACATGACTATACTCGTGTCAAAGTGTCTTCATTGTGCCTCCTGGTACCATATTCACTATATAATCTCATTATAGTTGTCCAATTTTGCCAGATTAGGTACGACCTCACTCTATATGACTATTTACCTGTTAAGACTATTATATGGTAACTCGAATAGCTTAGCACATTCATGGAGCACCGTAGCACACGGAGGTAGAGTTTTATTCTAATTAGAATATTTTTATGTGTTTCCGACTGTACAGTGGGGCTGGGCAAAAAAATACTTTTCACCCTTTTCACCCAAGCATAAGTAAAGGTATTTAAATATTAAGTAGGTTGTAGGTACATGCGAGTACTGCGGCCTCGTAGCAACCTAAGTAGACTCTACTAAGAGAAAATGACGCAAGTTTTACTGCACGGCAGAGTCAAGCAACATTGGCCTAGGGCATTAACTCTTTACAGACAGAAACTTCATTTCCGCGCGTGGAAGCGCAGCTTTTCTGCGGGTTCAGCGATGCTAAACTAAAAGTAAATGGCCGGTACTTCTGTTTGACGGGCCTGCACGCGCTTGTGAATCATGTGACAACACTAAGCGTCGCATTGCTATTCTATGTTTTTCTACGCTTCGACTTTATCTGTAGACTGTTGTAACAGACTGATAACTTCTACGGTATATTCGGCTTTTTGTTAGTCCAGTTACCGTTGCTATTTACTGATTGACTATTCGTCAATATTTTCAGCTACCGAATTAATAATCGCCTATCGTCCGTATTTTGCGACGGAGCATCAATTTTCTACCTATTCATCAGGCGTATCACTTGTTTTACTTTTTGATGAAGCTCTTCGTGCATAGCCAACGATATAAACGGCGCTCGTTCCATGATAACGTTTGAACTCTGCGTACGTGTATGTTTTTACCACTAATTTCAACCATCTCAGTATTCCTGACGCCGTGAAGAGTTACCAAAATATTACCCCATTTTGTGAGTAAATTTGGGACGTACGGTTTTATCATTTTCTGCCCTCCACTGAATAAAACGGTGGATTAACCGTAATTATAAATATAGTAAAATATTAATATGACGTTGTATTGATGTACCGAATCTGTGACCAGAGTCGGGAGTTGTTTATGGAACACAACCGTCCATCGACGGCATGACCGTTTGTCGTCACATCCTGTCATACGTCATAAATTCAATCAATGAGCATTATGTCACTCACAGCTGTCGTGAGTAAATAAGGATCGAATATTGCAGATTCATCTGTAGTAATTAAACAGGCACCGTGTGCCACACCTCGATGAAGACTACTATGAGGTATTGTCGAAATATTCCTTGATCAAACCATACATACACGATACCCATTGTATCGTTGCAAGTGTCATTGGGTGCTATGACACAAACCCTACCAGAACAGGACCATCTACTAGCTACCGGTTTACTACTGTTTTGCCAAACGGTTAAGCCCATGAGCGATAGCAGGCAATGTGTGCATCCTTGTTCAGAGCAGTATCGTTTTCGAAAAAATCATAGATCCATTTCACTTTGAGCCTAATGGCACTTTACACACTCGTGAGGCGCAAGACCTCCCGACCTCATTGTGCGTTTAAAGGAAGAGAGGCGGAATGTAACACCGCTGGCCAGTAATTAGTGCTAGTATCCACCGTCATTGCCATTATCATGTAACACGTATAGCTAGCTATTCAGCGGTGATGTATTGCGTAAGCGATGTGATACGCCGTATCACCGAGCACATAAATGAGCTCCGTACGCCACAAGGTCCTTATACATATATATATGAACTGAGATATGTTTTCTAAGTTGTCGAGGCAGGCACCGAGAAGCGTGTTGACATTTAGCGCCGATAAATCCATTGTCGTTAGATTTACCACCTCGTGCTTGCGGCACACTTCTATATAACTTGACCCGTATGTGCGTCAGCTGTGTGCAAGTATCTGCTATCTGTTGCCAGCGGTTCTCTCTCGGGAAAGCTGCCTGAGTGGGTATGATATGTTGGGCTAGCAACAGGAGCAAATACAATGAATCAGCCAGAAACTCTGAGCGGATTCACATGGCTATCTGGTTAAGCTACTTCACTGTTGTACTGTTCCAGCAGTGGAGGGTTGCCAGGACATTGCTTGAAGGGGACAGGATAGGATTACCATCAGCATCGTTCTACCCTCGTGCTACAACCCGTCCATTCGTCTACCCGCCGGTCGGTTTCGACGCATCCGCTTCTAGTTAGCGAGCGGCAATGTAGAGCTTTCGAACTATCGTACCCCCGATTATACTAAGTATAGGGTATGTATGTATTTAGACAAGGAGCACCTCAGGTCGCCCTTTACACTTACTCACCATTCTGCTAAACTCTACATAACCAAATATACAAACAGGCAAAGAAACTTACACCAGCGAATTCAACGATCCGACAAACATCCCCTCGTACAGTGTCAGACTCACTCATTCGATACACACAAACAGGCCTTTATATGCACACATAGATACAACAGCCATAGATGATAGACAGACCCAGGCAGTGGACCCATAGACAAGCACCATCCGCCGGTGCATCAGCTACATACATCAACCGAAGAAGAAGAAGAGGATGATAAAGGGAGGGAGAGCTAGATAGAGAGAGAGAGAGAGAGAACGAAAGAGCGCGATATTTGAATGGTCGTCGACGCCAAGCGCGCCTGTAACCCACAGACAACTACAGCATACGCCCCTCGAATCAGTGAGGGAGCGAGCGGTCCGCTGCGGACCGCCCTTCGTCTGGTTGAGCAAGCAGCACGAACACGATTCGCCTGGCTTGTCTGTTCTTTTTTTTTCGCTGTTTGAGGCTTGATGCTTGAATTTGTTCAATCGCGGTCGTTGTTTCGTCTAGGCTCTTGCCATGAATCGACTACCATCGTAGTTGCTGCTGCTGCTGCTGCTTATATCTCTAGCGACGGCCCTGAAACTGGTGATAATGTAGCCGCTCACACGGGATCACGACTACAGCGGGGCTACTGCTGCCACCACGCTGCGAACAAGGTAGGCAGGCGAACGGGCGGGCGGGCGGGCGGGCGGGCGGTCGGGGTGGCTGGCTGTTTCTGGTTCTCCAGCCGGTTCTCCTGTCGTTTCTGATGCTGTTAATGTTCTTGCTGACAACTTCCGCCGTCAGCCATCGCTATCATATCTGGCGGCTAGGCTAGCCGTCGAAGATGCCAGCAGCAACTTGTGAATACTGGGATAATACATGCTAGCAACAGCACGCTTACAGGAACCGTAGGATGGGACTCTCGCAGATTCAAAGCAAAACCGTTGATACCGCTGCGTTCATCAGGATGCAGGCAAGCTAGTTTGACATCTCGTTCAAAAAATGGTTCTCTCACCCTGGAATAGTGTTATGTTGCTACTAGGAGACAGAAACTCTTCACATATTGAGAGCAGCAACAATCTGAGGATAATGGCACCATCATAATCGCCAAGCTACAACACACGAATTCCCATTTAAGATAACTTAGAGGTGTAGGTATTGCGGAGGGAGCGGAACGCCAGTTGCGAACATGTCCAGTAAAGAAACAATTTCATATCGAGCCTCGACCCAAGGACATTAATAGCCGATAACATGCTAAATGTACTATATAAAAAGAAATTCTATTTTCTTATAGAAGGAATATAACCAGTTATCGTAAAACGGGACAACGACAAGGGGACAGTAATGGTAAAAGTGCAAGGTCTTTTTCGCCAGACGAGTCCTACCGAATCTGGCAAAATCCGTATCTGGAATCCGACAGCATATCAAACATAGCAAACCAAATTTCGGATTTAGCTATATCGTCCTAGATATTCACTATCACAGTTCAATTTATGGGTTCATTGTAGATCTTGGGCTAAAGCAGCGTCTTAAATAATCTACACTATTACAGTTTAGGTATACATTTAGTTTGTCCTTGATCAGTCTTACGTTGTTTACTTTCATTACGTCTGTCTCGCTAAGCACTGCCGTACAACACGACATCCTCTATGTCAGCCGGCCATCTCGTAACGGTACTGCTGCCAAGCTGAAGTCAGAACGAAACGTAGTAATATAGGTAGTAAAAAAAAACTACCGAAGTCGTTCTCAATAGCCATTTACACAAAGGTTGTTGTATTCACAGCGCGCCCAAAATAACAGCAACAGCGGCGGCCAAGGCGCCATGACCCGCCCGAAACAGCAGATGGTAGGTACGTAGGTAGCCAGGTCGAAAATATTCATGACATCGTCAGCATCATCCCCACCAAAACTGCCACCTCTGATCATATATAATGCAACAGGCAAAAGATATCCGCCAGAGAAGCTGGTACATAAGCGGATCCGCTTTCTATAACCAACCCTCGCCCATCCGACGCGTCGAAGGGCTATGCGGCTCGGCTGCTACAACCGTATGCTATAAGTGAATGGTGAAGCTTCATTAGCCACCGTGCAGCATCTCCACTATTACGAGCATCGTACTGAAAGCAGAATATCTTCCACATGCATGGTCGTCATCATCAAGACCCTATAGGAGAGACTAGCCTGCTGATATCAGGCTTCTATGCAGCCGAACGACACCAATACATCGGATGAAAAAACTGCTAAAAATCCAGTGATCCGGCTTTACAGCGGCGATCAGACTAGTTCCGAACTGAAAATTTCACTACTACGTTTAGGTTAGATTCTCGGGTTTGCTCTAGATCTAACAAGATCTTCCTTCTGTCTGCGCTAAACAGCGAACGACATGAGGAACGCGGCAAACTAGAGATGAGGGACTTGAAGTGTGTATAGTTTTCCTCTCAGCCTGTATTTCTTTCTTGAATTTTCGCTCTGTTTGCGGGGTAATAGAAACGTCGGACTGCGACGCCACCCGAAAATAGATCAACAACTGGCACAGCTTGTCACCCGCCGCCGCTGCTAGAGCTCTCGCTGCTACTGGGATAGATAGCAGCGAGCGGGTGTTGAGCCTCAATTTTCGACCACTTCCCCCTGT